TTCATTTGGAACACATTTTCGAGTATATCTGATTTCCAAAATTTCTTCAGATTTGATGCACATAAAAGGAAAGTTGAATACCATACCTGGTTGAACAATGTTTGACGAACAACATCGCTATTTGATTGAGATGTGATGCTCTTAAATCTAGGCAACATTTGCAGGTCGACTTCCTTCAGTTTTGGAAACTCAAGCATTTTGCAAGTTTCGTTAACTTCATTTTCTCGTGCGTCCGTTGAAACAACTTCCTCTAACATTGGACATTCGCGTATGTATAGCTTTTGGAGATTTACCAAGCTGTTTGCAACTGACCCCCGAAACAAGCTTCTAATTGTGTCACAAAAAATCATCTCAATCCTCACAAGGTTACAGAACAATTGAGGTTTGATGACACCCCTTGGAAGATTTTCATTGCATATCTCTATTAACTTGGGTAAATTATACAAATCGAGAGACTCCAATTTACCGAAGGTGCCATTTGGAATAGAGTTGGTAGCATCAATAAGATATTCGAAATCACCATATGATAGAGACAGTGTCTTCAAGTGAATGAAACCATCCCCATCTAACTCACTCACAACATTTTTCAGTACCTTGGCTCCTTTAATATGAAGATGGCAAGTCCTCTTCATCAACGAGTTAAATACGGGTAGCAAAAGCATACTTGCCTCAATACCGTCTTCGAGACTCAAGCTCCTTGTGAAATATTGATTGTTGGTACTTGTGGGTGGTGGTGGTGCGGTTCCACGGATTTCAAATTTATCCAGATTCTCGAGGCACCGTGCTTTTAATATTTGCATCAGAATCGGATCAGGTGTGGAAATTTGGAAAGTATGAAGAGAAGTCAATGAACTTAACTCTTCAATTATGCACCTTTGGTCTTCACCTTCTTCTGGAATGCTACCTCCCAAGCACAGCTCTTCCAGTTTCTTCAGACCCGACAAAACACCAGGTCGANAACACCAGGTCGAAGGGGACAGGATGACTCTCTAAACCTCAAATCAAGTGACCTTAGTTTGCAAAGATTCGTGAATTCAATGGGAGAATAATCACCGGAAGACTCATAGAAAGAGAGAATTTCCAACTTCTTTAGACTCCCAATCATTGATAATTGAGAATGTATTTTACATTCAATCAAGCACAAAGTTTGAAGACCCGCCAACAGTTGGATTGATGATGGAATTTGAATGTACATCCCTTTCAATTCAAGAACTCTGAGATCTTTCATATCTTTGAAAAATTCTTCGGAAATGATACATTCTCCGTACCTGTGACATATCAACCGTAACAACTTA